GATTAAGTATAGTTTTATAATCAGAAATAATAAGACAAGATATATGGATCTAATAATAAAGTAATATTATTATTAAAGAACTTACATATAATATATTTCTGCAAGAAGCTAAGTACTATAGATCTTTCTCAGTAATAGAGGCTATAGAAAATAACATATATTAATTGAAGCTCTTATCAAGCTATCAAATTTACAACATTTTTTATATTTTATTATTAGAATCATATCATATAAAGAAGAATGAGATACAAATATATTCTTCTGCAGTACTGGTAGATAATCATCATCAGTAGAAAGTAGATGAAATCTTAGACAATAAAGTGCACTATCACAAGAAGCATTATCTAGTGAAGTGGAAAGAATTTTCTATTGAGAAATTAATATAGAAGTCTGAGAAAAATCTCAAAAATGTACAAGAGATTCTCAAGAATTATCTAAGAAAAAGATAAAACTACCACAAGACAGATAAACCTAAGTACAAGAAGAAGAAAACTACACATGGGGGAAAACAAGATTAAATACTACCACACACCACAAAACCAAATAACTAATAACAAAAGAGAGTATCACAAGAATGTTCAAAGCATGGCTGCAACAGAGACAAGCTAGCTAAAGCTAAATAATATTCAAAAGTTACAGAAACAGACAGCACAACAACAGATAGTATTATAACAGACAGTACAGCAGCAGATAGTATAGCAACAGACAAAAATAAAACAGCAGATATAAAGTTAGAAGAATAATAAGATGTGTAAAGTATATTTATAATACTCTGAAAATTAGAGATAACAGCATCAGTCAGATTATCAATAGTGAACATAATATTAGTCTACATCAAAATTAGTCTAGAACAAGTAAAAATAATAAAGTAAATATACAAAATTAGTTTCAGCTGTACTACAGAGCTTCTTCATTTCACTAGTTAAGTGTATAGCAAGCCAATTAATAAATACCTGTACATTTTCTACTTCAATACAGATCTGCAATATTTTAACATGAATAAAAGTAAGAAAATATAAAGGCTCTCAAGTATCATTATCAGAAACTGCTTCAGAAGAGATTTTAAGAATATTGCCAGATAACAGTATTAAACAACAGTAATACTTTATAGAAGAACTAGCAACTAAGAATAAAGTACAATAATATGAAGTATATATTTTCTTAACTGAACTCTTCTAATACTTTGCAGTGCTAGAGTTCAAACCATAATAATTATATATTAAGCCACATATTTCTCTTGCAAGAATCATTTAATAAGAGTTTATAGTAGTGAGATTCAAGTATTTTTCACAAAGACACAACAACTTTTGTACAAAAGTAATTGCAGACTTATAAATCTATATTTATATTAGAATAGCAAAGAAAATAAGTGAAAACTCTCTTATATTACAGCATTTGCAGATGGTATGATTCAAACAGTACTTGTAAGAATTCTTCTCTACATTTCACATACATGGCTTCTTTTTATCAAGACAATCTATAAACATAGAATAGACACATATTGAACACAGGAAGATATCTTCATTCTTACTGAAAACAGAGCTCTGGGTTACAGATATTGTGAAATTATAGGCCAGACATGGCAGAAGAAGAAGAAGAATAAGAATAAAGAAATCTTTATTTATATCTAAAATAACTACAATATTTTAAAATAGTTAGATCTACAACTTGTTGATAAATAACATAATAACAGATAACAGATAATATAGCAACTAATCTAATTAAAATACAAGCTGATAAACCAAGACAATAATGTAACAAGAAAACTAGATATTCATAACAGGGTAATGAATGTCTTACAATATAGAATATCTACTGCAACTAGCAGTAGCATACATGTGGAATATCTATATAGACAAGCAGTAGAAGTGCAGAGATCTGCACATTCAAGAAGCTACAAGACTTCACTAATAACAGAAGAGCTACAACAACATATAAAAAACAACTTCAGTAACTTTATTCTTCAAAGTTCAAGACCTTTGAAGGGGGAACAGTGTTATAAATGTAGACCAACCAAGCACTAAATAAATATAGACTAATCCAGTATCAGATGACATTAGATGTTCAGAAAAACTCACATGATCACCAACTCTGAAAATATAAAAATTACACAATTTGTACAGATTATGGAAATCTCAGCATTCAGTCTTCTAGTTAGCAGATCTATATGTTCTATATACAACTCTTTTTCATCAGTTGTCAGTATTGAACCTACTTAGCTTTTTTGTACCTTAAATTCTGGGACAACCCATGAGATCTACATCAGGTTCCCTAACACTTACTCACAAACTGATCTTCACACAACTCTATTAAATAAGCAGAGATCATCATGCATAAAATACAGAGTACTGCTGAATAGGTTTAGTCTGTAATAACTACTGTTCAATAGAAGCAAGAAAAATACACTAATTATAATTATAAATCTTTATAAAACTTCAAAATAAAGAATAAAGTCTGGCTAGATCTGTGTAATATTAAGATAAACTATATAAGCAAGAAGCTAGATGCAAAGAACATCAAGTTTACAGTTATTAAGATAATTGACTTATATAGCTATCATCTGAATACATTATTAAAAATTCACAACATCTTTTATATGCAGCTTCTCTAACCAGTCACCACAAATCTCTGTATCCAGCAGCAGTTGGATTGGCAGTTACCAGGAATCACTATTAAGAAAGAGAAAGAGTATAAAGTAGAGAAGATTTTTAAAAAGTGAAGAAACTGCTAACATCTTAAATATCTTGTCAAATGGAAAGAATACACACATCTAATGAGAAACAACACTATACTTATGAAGAAGACAGTAGCTCTTGATAAATGAGAGTACTGTAAGTATTAAGATAAGATCTCTAGCATTTGCAAACATCAGTAATAGTGCAACATCTGAGGAACAGAAGAGAGGTGTTGTAAGGGGTTGAACCTCTACCCTTCTTGAACTAAACCCTTGATAGCATGCTATGTAGAAGACCTCCACACTATTTCTCTTTTGGCTTAGTGTCACACACAAATGTTGTGAATATATTGTACATACACTCACCTACCATCTTTCTTCTCTCTCTCTCCAAGCAATATGTTCGTGTTTATAAGAGCTTTAGCTAGTAACTTTAGCTTGGCCATGACAATAAAGAGCTTTAAAGCAAATTCAGACCACATCTTAAATTTCAAATTTTCTGACCTTTTTTTCCGCAACAGGCACTTACTTTTTGGTCTTATTAGAGCTATCTGCTATTAAAAAAATGAGAATCAGAAGCACATTGTTGAATGTCTGGAACATCCAAACCAGCATGCAATATGTTTAAGTGAACTAAATGTAAATGGGCAGTGTTCATGTAGTCATTTAGACTATCAAGAGCTGCCTGATGATTTCCATATCGAATGGTTTTCTGTCTACTTATCAAGACGTCTCTTTCCAAATCCACTTGGGCATCAAGGATGCCTTCCTGAATGAGAGTGAGAAGTTCCAACAAAAATGTGGAACCAATTTCTGTCACTCTCTGGGTTCTGGTCATGATATCTTTTGGAGAGAACACATTTGCCATGGATCTTAGGGCGATTCGGTTATAAGGCACGATATATTGCAGTATCGCCTTAGTGCGGATCTGGCTGTAGAGATGGTGTACATGATTGTGTAGATGAATATCAAGGAGATAATCGCCGCGATAGCTCTCAAGGATCTCTAAACAGGGCCGAAATTTCGAGGAACAGAAGTAGGAAACTGCTCGTCGAATATGTGGTTCCAATTCAAGGAAATTTCGGAATGACTTATTTTCCAACACGTAGCTGACAAGATCAGATCGATCCATCGATGCCATTGCGCAGAGCCCACCGTAGACAGCAATATCATTTGCAGATATTATCTCTTTATAGTTATCGCCCAGGTTGGGATCAGTGGACACAAAACTCATGGCGGCATCAAAATAAGCTCCGGTCGCTAACTGCGATAAGCCAAGGGATGCCCACATCTTTGCTTTGTTCTTAGTTTCATCTTCTGGTTTAAATTGAAGGTTTCGAAGACGATAGACATTTGACTGAACCGCAAGCCAGTCGCCGCGGTCAACTGCAACATTGATATTCTTAAATAGCATCGAGGCAACATGGGATGTAGTTGTGCAGTAATCTCGCATCCGTGAGTAAGCCTTAGATGCCGCACTCAGGTCACCAATTTGGTGATAATGATACCCCAGATCTTCGTTGCCCATCTGAATAAAACTCATTAGCGTCACGACCTTAACCAGAAAATGCCCAAACTTGACTTACTCGGATGCTTTCCTTGATAAGATTGTTTTTATACCCCTTCAACTCATGCTCTAGTCTGTCTGTATCGGCCTTCACGCTTTTTAGTGTTTGTTCAACCCAGATTTTATCAAGGGTAGTGTCGGTTTCCGAAGGCGCTACTTTGACCAGGGCTTCCAACGCCTTTTGATAGTTCTTTACATCCTTTCCACTCCGAGCTTCCACTAAGGCTAGTTTTAATGCTTCGGTAGCTAAATAACTGGAGCGTGTGCCGATAAAGTAAAGGCGGGTAAATCTCGTCCTTCCTAATGGATGTAAGAATGTGAGTTAACAAATGTATGCACGCATATTTACCACGTACAGCTCCCCAAGGCCCGCATTTAGAGCCTGATCATGGGTAGAGTGGTACATACCTTCATAATTTGAAAGGTATGATTCTAGATCAAACTTTGGTGGATCTAGAAAATAATGTCAGTCACCCTGAACCAGTCTATCGAATACAAAAACTGAGCCGAAGTTTACCATCAACAACAGCTTCAGTGAAATCCTCGCGCGGCAATGGTGAAGTAGGGCTCTTAGGGCTTGAGCTTTTGCTTTGAGTGAATTTTGGTTCCATTTCCCAGGGTCATTTGTGTCGCAACGGTGAGGTGACAATACCCATGCGTCAAGTCACAGAACGAAGCCTGGTCGAGAACCATCTCCGTTTCAATGTGCGTTTATGTAGGCTAGGTACTCCGTAGTTAGATATGAAAGGCCCAATTAGGTTTAGCTTGGGAGGACTCTTAGTCATCAGGGTTCAACTGCTGTAGCAGTTTAACCATGGAGCACGGGGGTATTTAAATCTACAATTTCGCTTTTGCGTGTTAAGTCGCTCTCAGCCTCTCCCGCCTTCGTCTCCTCCTCTTTCTCCTTAGGCAATCCCTGATAGCTTCTTCCGTCAAAATACATCTTGGCAGATGAAATACTTTCCGCGATATCCCCGGTATGGGCTGACCGAATGCATTACTCAACGCGGGCCTCGGGCGACTAGGAGAGACGAACCTTACAGGATGGTGGTCGTTAACGAACGTAATCGGCTTCCCGTTTAGTAACAGGGTTGAGGTAAGACTCGTTGCATTTTGAGATCTCACCAACGAAATCTCATTGTCTGGCCGGCTCAGCTTGAAATCAGGCTTCACGTGATCGATGGGTAACGCTGACATTGCTTCCTGATGAAGCTGATGCGCAGCCCAGGCGTCGATATCTTCGGTCCCTGACGGGTCGTTTCCCTCATTTCTCGAGGATTCGTTCACTTTATGACAATATTGATCTGGATTAGCTGTTTGAACGTTGTCTGCGGGATGCCCATCATCGTTTTCCTTTGTCGAAAGAAGCTGCTGTTTTAGCTTCCGTCTCTTTTCCTTCTGTTTCCAAATTTTAAATTTATCCAGCAATGCCGCCAACTCCATAATAAAGTAGGTTCGTTTCGGCTCGTAAAGGTGTTTCTCCGACTCAGCAATACCACTAACACCCATTACTCGAAGCCAATCTGCCCCACGTAACGCGCTTAGTAGACGGTCTATTTGTATCTTTTCATGTTGAGCTCTCTCCTTTTCAATGTTACGGAGTTGCGTCTCTTTTCGTTCGATCCTTCTGTGAGCTTTGAAATATGTTCCATTAAGTAGAGGGTCCCTTGCTTGGGTACTCGCAGTGGGGGATAACGTGGGATCCTCGATGAGCTTGGCTTGGCGCAAGTCGATAAACGGCGTGTTCCTTCTTCCAGGGAGAATAGGGTTTCTGTACAGTAGTCTTTCCTGTTCGTGCAATGATCCTGGTTTGGAGGAAAGGTGTGTCACAATTTCGGATGGAGTTACGTCGTCAATGAGTTTGACTTTGGATTCGGTAGAAAGGTATTCTGGAAAATCAGTCATTTCAACCAACTACATGTATGCGTAATGGATAAATTTTGACAGTTCGACTTTTGTCAAAGATGGGAAGAACTTATGACTAAAACTCACCAACCTTAGCAGGCGTCAAGCTCAATATCTGCTCATACCTGGGAAAGTAAATGGACAACTCGCTTTTCGATTTTAGGGCTCCGTCCTGGGATCGCAAAAAGCGCTTCGGGTTGATAGAATTAGAGACCATCTTGTCCTTTTTGTACTTCCCTCAATGGGGTGAAATCGGAGCTATAAAAATGACAAATGTGTTGGTTTGATGTCCGGATAAGCTACTCCATACGGAGTACAGTCAGGGATCAAAAGTTTTGCACACCACCATCAACTTCAAGAATCAACCCCGAGTTTCGAGATTCAACATGCAAAGAAAAGTTAAAAATACAAGATGATAGCTTCAAAATGTAGTATTTTATACAAAGTCCTTTGTACTTTATTCTACGGAGTATAATAGCAGATGAAAAACAATCTTATAGTTATGAAGATTGAAGATGAGTAACTTAGCTGGCAGACATAAGACTAGCGCTATTTTTCCAACCAAAAATTTCAATAATTACTAGATAAATTTATCTGAAAATTCAGATCAGAAGAATCAAAATAAGAGCTTTTTAATTAAATATAACAAGAATTAATTGTATTGTGAAAAAGAGTTGATAAATGATACTAATAATAATGATGATGATGATGGTGATATTTGACCCTGCCCAGGCTGCTCACAAGCACGTTGTTTGCAAAATATTGATTAAATATCAAACAATAATTGATAGTCAAGGGATCTTTACTCTGGGGATTCTTGGATGCAGGATTGCTTAAACATGAATCTAATATCAATCAATCCATTGCAAGGCTGTCATATGCAATCAATGACCGTAATCTTTTCCCAATTCATCAGGCGTAACTTACCGGCGAGAATTGCCGAAGCTTTACTCCAGCTTCTTCCAGAATAGCAGCAGTCTATGGCAGATTTAATCGGCGTGTACACCATGCACAAAGCTGCTTTAGGGTCAAACAAACCTCTCTGTCCATATCGTAAGCTTGAGAATACACCACCTCGGATATACCCAGCTGCGCTATCTTGACGCTGCAGGTGAGGCAAGGACACCTGTTAGGGTAGGTTAGGTATGCTAATTCTGGAGTACGTTGTCCGAGTCGGGATTAGAAGAAAAAAGAAAAAAAGGGAAGATACACACGTATTGCAGTATAGAATACATCCTTCACCTATCCTTTCGCGGCCAGCTTCTAAAAGGGCATTCTCTTCTGCGTGCAAACAGAGGCAGGTGGACAATGCTTGTGCTGTTCCTTGCACAAGGTTACACCTAGGGCCTACCAGATGTTAGTCTTAGCTTGCACATATGCCACAGCAACACACAACTTACACCCTCCTTGATTGCAATTTCTAGTATTTCGTGCTGTGCCATTGTAGCCAGTGCTCATGACTCGTCTATCCTTCACAAGGACACAACCAACGCGCCGTTTCATACAATTGCTCCTTTGCGCCGCCAAAGAGGCTAGCTGCATAAAATACTCGTCCCAACTCGGCCGTAGCCGTTGGTGGTTCAGTATATCCAGAGCATCCAAAGCAGCATGCAGGTCGTGTATCGATGATGACGCGTTGAATAATCGGATGTGGGCATGTGCGTCCACGTAAACCACCCCATTTTTATGCTGATACTGGTGCTGGTCATTCAGGAGCACAAACCTCTCAAGTTCTGGAGGTTCCAATTGCTTTCTCCAACATCTATATTTCCATTAATTCAATGTTATTAAATGGTGGGGTTGTAGGAGCAAAACCTATCTGTAAAGCGGCGCCAACGAAGTGTAATGGGAGCATCAATGCTGACAAGTAAGAAAAAGGGTCGCAAAAGGAGTTTTTCAAGAAGGGACTCATTTGATAAATCTGTGATTACCCAGTGTTCCTGCCATCGGGCTGTGATGAAAAGGACTAAATCATCAGCCGATTGGAACACTTGATCAGGTGTGTCAGCCATGGCACCACTTTGAAGGTGTAGCTGATCTACTGCATCAAAATGAGCAGGCTGGCAAGCCTCTGTTGCTAACTGAAGAATCCTGAAATTGTGCTTTTGGACAAGATATTTTGCCACAGAGCGCTTCCCTGCACAAATGCCTAAATACATTCTGGATATGTCAGTTCAACTGATTTCAAGACTACTTTGGATAGAGAAAGTTGACAATGACCTCCACACAAACCAACAAGCATCTTGGAAGCTGTGACACCAAGCAACACTGGATAGTTGATTCAACTTCTAAGCATGTGGAAATTTCAATAGCCAACTGAAAAATTGGGAAAAGGAGATGCCTGTCACCAGATATTCCTTTCTTGGCTTAGCTATAATTTGGCATGTTAGTGGGGTTCAGTTTGCCAAATTTTGTTTCTGACCAGCAGATGTACTCAATATAAAGGTGTGGAACAAAAGTCGTTATAAAAACAAGTAAAGCGTGGCATAGTTGAACAGAAATCTCTTACCAAATTAGTAAATATCAAAACAAATAGACCACTCTGCCATTTCATCCCATCTCAGGATTTGAACATTCAGGTCTACCAAATCTAATGAATCCTACAAATCCTACAGATTGAATCCATTATTATGCTTGAAAATAACTTCTTCTATTCTCTTGCTACTTGAATTCAAGCTTTCAATTTAGTAGCTTGAGATAATAATATTGCAAAAGATCTGTATATTTTAAAATCTACACTTGACATTATTTCAAGTCAAGCAAAAGTATATGTTGGAGGTTAAATCTTTATTTCTCTTAGGCTGTCTTGATGCCTACTATAGTGACTAACAGTTCTAGTATTTAAGAACCTCTACACTACTCCTTTTTTGATCTAGTGCTATACACAAATATTTTGTATATATTATACTTATATATATACTTGTTTATTCTCTTCTCTTTTCTTCTTGAAGTAATATGTTTATATATATAAAGTTGTAGTAGTTAGTAAATTCAGCTTCTTAATAACACTTTTAGATATAGGCTTTAAATTTAATATTTATAGTATACTTCGTACTATTTCTCAATAAATAATACTATAAAAATTTATTTATTTAACTATTTATTTAATAAAGCTAATAAAAAATTCAGTAAAAGAAGTTATAATCTGAGAAATATTTATTTTATTTACATAATTCATTATAAATTTTATGATATATAGTATTTTTATGATGATTTTATATAAAGTAGTTGAGATATAAAGCATTAAAAAGTTGAAATTTTTATATATATTAAGGTGATTAGTTTGGTTGAGTGATCAGCTTACTTGAGAATTATGTTAGTTAAAATATTTACTAGTTCTCATTTTAATAGTTTAATGATTTAAGTTAACATAATTCACTACTAAGCTAACTACACCAATGAGTTAGCCACCAAAATCACTGTATAGTATGTAGTAATTAAATAGATTTTAATTTAAATTATTAATGCTCAACAATAACTAATTAAATTAAATTAGATTACACTAGGATTAAAGCAGCTTCTTCTTGTATAATCTATAATTTAGCAGTTTCTACATCTTGATACAAAGTAGAGCCTGTGAATATTATATAGACTCAGAAGCTGAAGACTTGGAAAGTTAAATAATAAGCAGTTGCTGCAGTTCAACTATCTTAGCAGATGGAATAATAAGAGTTTGAGCTTCTTCTCAAGTTAAATCTTCTTTATGTTGAATCTGGCATTTAGATTTCTTGTATTTTTTTTTCTTTCTTATTTGCTACAAGTATATTCTGATATTACTTCTTTATAACAGTAGTATTAACTATCTTGTATTTACAGATCTTGATAATTTAATTAAATTCTTTCATCAAGTCTTAAGATGAGCTCTCAAGTCTTTGTCTTATAATATTATTGATTTTATTCACCAGTTTATATAACCAGCAGGTATTGCTAGGTGTTATTATTATTATTATTATTATTATTATTATTATTATTATTATTATTTATTATAGTCTTATACCATTAGTGACTATAAAGACTACCTAGCAGCTTCTCTGTTAGGATTTACTTAGTATACATTGTAGAAACTGGAAAAGGGAAAAATCAAAGTATTTCAAGGCAATATGAGATGTTCTTTCTTCACAAAAGTCAAATAACAGATAGTATAGTATCAATTTCAAAGAAAAATAAAAATTCTTGTAGCAATGTAATACAAATTAAAAAGAAATAAAATTAACATATTTGAGAAAGCCACTATCTAGTGGCTATTTCAGTATATTTTAAAAATAAAACTAGCTATTTTAGGCCCAATTCAGTTTTAAAAATAAAATTTAAAGATAGTTAAGAAATATTAAGTTCTTGTTAAATTTTTCTTCTTTCAGTTTGATAAGCTGAGCAGTCTAATAGTAGATGCTTTAGATTTTCAACACAATTGCAGAAATAGCATAAATTGAAAAGGTAGTCAAATAATCTTACTAGATAAGATCTGAAATATCTATAACCAAGCTTCAATTAGCAAATAGTTGACCATATCTTCTTAGATATAGAAAGAGTATATGCTTTCTTCTGGGTTTTATTTTGAAATAAGAGTAGTGATTTGTAAAACTTTCTTTATTAAAAAGATCTTCATTATTGCTAGGTGTTTGTAGAACTCAGAATAACTAGAAGTTACTAAATTAGCTTTCTGAATAAGTAAACATATAAAGCTGAATATTAAGCTGCTAGATAATCTAGTCTAATTCAAATAAGACTATACCAGTAGCTATAAAACTATTTTAAATATTCTGAGATTTAAAGACTTTTATATATACTACTGGATAGATATTCAAGAAATTAAACTTTTAAATAGTATTGAATTTAAGCTACATGTGCTGTTCAATCAGTTCTTCATATACTTGCTTTAGAACTACAAGAATACTGATATTCTGGGACTGTAGAAGATAGAAAGAGTATACTGGCATGCAGAGAAATATAATTCTATTCTTACTGCATATTTGATAAAACTCAGAGGTAAAATAACTGCTGTAGTTATTCAGAATAAGAAGTAAATAAGTGTCAATCTACTCTAGGTATGTAGCTGAAATAAACATTTTTATATTTATAGTTCAGTTATTAGACCTAATACTAAGTCTCTAGTCATCTGGCAGACTATCAAACTAGTCTTTGTGAAGAATCAGACTTTTAAAAATAGTATGAAGAAAGAGTCTAGCTTGAGATATTAATAATCTCAATTATAGTGATTTATTTATCATTTTCAGACTGTAAAAGCTTTGTCAGACTGGAGTGCTCAGTATTACTAATAATCTTGATAGTTGTACAGAGTTTCATTACAAAACTACAGAGTAGTCTTATTAAAATTATAGATATTGTCAAAGAAAAATGCTTAGCAATTATATTCTCTAAGATTTTAAACTAATTCTTAATAATTTTTCAGTCTTCATATTTAGTCATGTTCATAATTATAGTATCTGGAATAGTAGTATTAAAGCTGTGTATAGTGTTTA